TCAGAGAGCTTGTCCGCAGCCTGGTTCCAAAGCCAGGAACACGCGTCTGAGACGGCCGAAGCCTTCGAAAACTGCTAGTCTCTTCTTGCTCTCTCACGTTAATAAGTAGAATAGGGTTCGGAGTATTTTTTAGTAATAGCACGAAAAAATGAGGGATAGCTGTTGACAATTATTTAGGCCCCTACATTTCATCATCAACAACCGCCGCAAGTGTAACCGAGAACCCTGGCCGGCATGTCGTAGGTTTCCTCTTCCGCTGGCTGCGCTCTGCTTTCCGATGAGGCGGCAACATCCGCCTCAAGGAGTGCGTAGGCCACAGAACTGCTTCAATGCTTGCAATGGTTGCACCATTCCGAGGTCATGAGGGATCCACTTCTTGATATACCGATCCTGCGAAGGAATCCCTTGCTTTCGGAAGTTCCCACGTGGCTTTTCTGCGGCAGGAGGAAGGGCCGAAACTCAAAAACGTCTTGTTCCTCTCCAAGCTTACCTTCCTTGTCGACGGCTTTAGCCTTGGCGACCCTGCCACGTGATGTAAGCACCGCACATCCGCAGCTGCGGCTGCCGGTGGCTCCTCTGCTTTGAAACCGAACGATCAAAATGAAGAGGGGAGGAGGCCTCTGACGTAAGCTCTGACAAACCTGAAGTCTTCAGAGGGATTTCCGAAAACCATGGACATGGACTCGACAACGTTAGCGGGCAGAGGCACACTGGCGAGAAGTACCTCGGCTCGGGTCAGACGAAAGCTCCCGACAAAATGCTTCCCAGCAGTGAGCTAGCATGAAAGCTGCTTCCACGATCTCTCGAGAATGCAATGGCACTCTTCTGATATTACAACAACCGCAGCTAGTTGTGTCAATTATTCCTACTGTGACACGTAGTATGGTTTGTCGGGTCTCTACTCTCCCACCTTATTGGCGCTCGCCCACTGTCTGGATGTTGTTTACATTTCGCTACTTGAGCCGCGTACCAACATGTATTTGCAAATAGCTTCCTTCCGTGTGGGTTTATTGATAAAGATGATATCCTTTTAAGCGCTTGATGTCTACAATGTTATGCTGCGGTGCTCTACTATCCAAGTACTGCAGTTCCGTGTCATGTCTGCCTGCTGCAGCGGCGTGTCCAAGCGCAACAGCACATCAAACGACGCTTATTCGAGAAAGCTGTCGGCAAGAAAAACCGATCCAAAGAACGGAATGAAGCCACCGTGATCCAGAACCCAGGGTATTATGTCAGATATCATATGAACAGACACGTGCATAGTGGCATCGCCATCCTCCATTGTCGTCCCAATTTTTCAACAGCACAACATCGAATGACCCCCTGCCCTTCACCCCAAACCCTCGTCTCCTCTGCTTCCTGGGGCTGGCCGATGTCTTGCGTTTCAGGCAGCTCAGGATCTTCTGACCTGGGCAGAAGGTCTAGCAGCCTGCGTATGCTCTCCTCTCCTCTCCTTGCGAATCTCTCTCTAGCTTTTCTTTCTTTCTGCAGGGCATAGGGGTCGCATGTTTGCGACCCTCAGGCCATTGGCCCGCCCCCCCACCCGTTGTGTTATGGAGTGGGAGGCATTGGGGTCATAATGACTGCTGCACAAGAGTACCAAGTATGAGAGAGACTTTCAGCAGCGAGCCCCCGACCCCGAACACTAACCAACCCCAACCCGCGTCCCGGCCTCATCCCCGTGCCCCCTCTCTCTAGCTCTCTCTCTCTCTCTCTCGTCTGTCTCGTCTTCGTCTACTGATTCAATCTCCTCCTCCTCTGTTGCTTCTACTTCTTCTTCTTCTTCACATGCTCTTCTTGTCATGAGCACATATGCATGCTTGCACAGGTTTTCTCAGCCAAGACATGACTAGCTAGAGATCGTAGCAGACAAAGCATACGTTTGCACCGGCACAGATTTGCAAAAGGTGTAGAACCGGTATACATGCAACAGATGTTACATACATATGTATACATGATATGCATACATACATACGTACATACATACGTACCTACATACATACATAGTACATACATACATAGATAGGTACATACATACATACACACATACGTACCTACATACATGCATACATACATACATAGATATAGGTGTAGGTGGGTGTGGGCCGGCCTGCAGCATGTTCCGTGCAGGTGCAGGCACGACTCGTCTCGTTTCCGAAAGGTTTTTTATGGGGAACAAAACCCATAAGCCGAATGCCACCAACCAAGTTTGCACATCCTATCTAGAGCCGACAACCCTGCATGAAGTTAGCATGCAATTGCTCAGCTCTTTGCACGTATAGGATTTTGCATGTTCATGCGTGTTGCCGATGTCTTCACTCAGGCATCGTGCCGCAAATGTCTCGCAGCGTGCTTACTAGCCTGTGCATGCATGGCTGCTTTCGCATCTGAACAGACTGGTTTGTCGAAGTATCGCCTGGCTTCTGGAACTGTAAAGTCGTTCGTATTTCTGGCTGCTGGTTACAACTACGGATAAGCATGAAGGTATGCACATCTGATTGCGTGTATCCAAACGCGCAAGAATGCATAGGTGCTTGACCCTGTGAGCATAATCCGCGGTGCACTTCTTCTCCTTCGGCTTCTCTGTCTGCATGCAATCTGTAATATGTCTGTAGCTATGTTTCTGAGGTTTGTTGTCCACTACATCTAGTACATGGTCGTGCCATCTCCTATCATGGTGGCGATAGCGACCACAGCGGCGCCAGATCGCTAGGCGAAATGAGTCTTGAGAGCTCCCAAATCCGTCCTCACCCCTCCGGAGAAATCCGAAACGGAACCCCCCTGAGTCGGGCAGTGAAGCCAAGTTGCAGAGCTGGCTGCTCGTAGTCATAGTGGTCCTCCTCTTTGGCAGCCTGGGGTGCTGAGATTTGTCGTGGTAGTATCGAACTCTAAACTCCACACTGCTGGAACCTTGGCGGGCTCCTTACTTCCAATCTCGGACGACGTTTCAAGGGCCCGGTAGGAATCAAGCTGCACCTAAACCCTGCAGCGAGCCAACATGTGTTTGGAGGCTACAAATGCCAGCAGTCCAGCAAACGCAACGACGATTCCTGCTCCCTCTATGGCCAGTACGGTACTTAAAACACCCTAGTGGTGTGCGCACGCTGAAAGAAGCCTTGGCAAAGTGTCATGCAGAACCACAGAAGCACCTTCTTACAGGGACTAATTAGTCTTGCTGCCCGTCTGGCTAGCAAATGACATCGACTGCACAAGAAGCCTTCAGACCTAGCGTCCTAGCAGCTACATCCCAAGCCGTAACCGAGCACGCAAGCAATGAAATTCGCCGGCATGCCTGCTGGGCAGCCGCGGCCGGGTGCAGTTTGTAGCTCGACGCCTTGCACCCGGCCGACCAGGAATTCTTCACATCGGGGCACACCACGCGTAGAGTGTAGGGGGTCCTCATAAGAAGGATCCTGGGTTCTGTAAAAGCAGTGGTCCTTTATGGGATGAAGCTTCCATATCTTGCTCATCACCATCATCACCACCACCAACAACACCAACGCCATCCTTGTCATCATCATCATCATCATCATCACCATACTGCGATTGCTACTACTGATACTGTTGCTACGACCATGCTACTGATACCACGAGTGGCAGTACTACTCTATCAATCGTCGTCTGTCAACTGCTATTGAATTGCGTCCTCAACAGAACATGAGCATGCTTCTACTGTTCTCATTCATCCGATTGGTCGCAGATTTTCGTAGCTGCCACAATTCCTACCATCGTTTCTGCTGCTCCTGCTTGAAAATGGCCACCCGAAAGAACTGCTTGTTATGATGGGCTGTCTCTGCGGTTGCGACAGCGGCCGCAAGCAATATCACTACCACTGCCACTCTGATGACTATTGCTGCTAGTGCCACGACGACGACGACTACTACTGCTGCTGGTCACCAGCTTCTTCCCTCATCATCACGAAAATTGAAGAACGCAGAGCAAACCAAGAAGTCAGCAACAATGCGAAAAAGCTGAATGTCCAAAACTGCATGTCAAATACGAGCACTGTGCGGGATGCCTTTCATTAGGGCGTCTTCTCTTTTTCTGAAGATTTGTTTACCTTCAGGACTGCACAGGCCTGCTCGATTGGGCTGGTGGCCTTCCGAGCGCTTTGGGGGTTTTAGGAGGGATGCCAAAGTTGGCTCAAGGCTTCGGGTTTATAGACCTAAGATGTATGGGGCCGGTCATGCTCCTGGTGGTCCGAGCTCAGTGGAAGCCTAAGCCCGTGTGGGTGTTCCTGCTTCGTGCTGCAACTGATATGGCGATGTTCGGCAGAAGAGGTATGGGCTAATTATTGCCGGTAGGGGAGTCGACAGAGCCCCAAGGAGTTCGAGCTTCCATTCTTTGCTGCAATGCTTGTGCCACGCTACCTTGGGCGGAGCTGCACCTAGATGCAGTCTGGCTCACAAACGACTCATGTACTTTGAGCTTTAAGTGCAAGGCGACATCCTCGTCCTGGGGCCTGTCCCGTCTGAACCCCCCGCACGGATCTTCCTCACAGGCCCTTCAAAATCTGAGAACTTCCAACAGCCTGCCTCGATGCTGGACATGTCCTTGCTCGGGCTCTCGAAGTTAGAGTCCTTCACATCACATCTTCACAAAGGGTAAGAGCTTTTTGAAAAGGACTGACCATGAGTTTGTCACGGAATTCACCAGAGCTCTAGCTGATCCTACTGATATCTGGGCCGAAGACCTGAGTGAAGCTCTTAGGTAAAGCACTGGGTCCGCTCTGCTATCAGGGCTTATGTACAGCCCGACTTTCCATCCCAAAAGTGGCACATAGCCTAGACATGCACCAGTTCAACACATCGGCATAATTACAAGTTGCTTCTCTCGTGCAAAGCAAAATACGGGCAGCTGTACAGCTTAGCTTTGATGCTGGCGTCTGTGTTGCAAAGGCTGAAGTGTTTTGCGGCCATAATCCAGCAGAACAGCTGCGATTTGCTTCACATGGCCGGTCGTGCACACCACTACACTACATAACTACATAACTGTGCAGTTTACAGCTTCTGCAGGACTCGATGGATACGCGAGCTCAGGGTGGACAGGGTGACTCCTTCAGCTTTGAAGTCGTCGATGGCTTGCCTCGCAGCTGCGATACGTTCCGGCGAGCGCTCGTGCAGAGCAACGAGCATCTCATCCTCGTCCCAGGGTGCCCCTTTGGGCTTGCGAAGAACTGTCACCAGATATGACTCAGCGAAAACGGTGTTTGGCACAATGCCCAACTCCTTCATTTCAGTGTAGGCGACCCGTATTTCTTCAAGTGGAGCAGTCATATAAGATCCGACCAGACATGCAAACGTAATGACATTGGGCTGTAGGTCAAGTTCCTTGTGCAAGTTGAACAGATACTTTGCTGCATTATGGTGACTTCCTTCTGCTTCCCAGCAAGCTCGAATAGCCGCGGATAAATGGCCAACGTTTATTGCCACGCCACTCACGTTCATCTGATCCAAAACCGTAGCTGCTGTTTGAACATCTCCCTCTGCAGCAGCTGCGGAAATGCGAACTGCAGCAAGTGCAGCATCGAGTTCGCACTCTCGCATGGCATCCTTCCAGATCTCACGAACAGCATCCTTCTTGCCCAACATTGAGTGAATCGTGAGAGCACTTGTGAAGGCAGGAGCAGTCCTGTTTATGTTCAGGCTGCAAAGCTTCTGGTAGATAAGAGCACCTTGCTTGTACTGGTCACACCGTATAGCTGCATGCATGGCGGCATTGAAGACTTGGATCTCAGCACCAGAGTATGTGGAATACACATGCCGAGCTTGATGCCAATCACCTCGTTCTCCTGCGTCAGAAATTTGAGACACAGCGCGGGCCCCTCTTGGGCTTATAGGTACAAACTTTGGTTTTGAAGTCAATGCCATGCCCTCGCGCTCTCGAAGTAATTTCAAGTTTTGCTGTCGCCTGATTGCCAGGCAATCCTGACAGACATGCGGCGCACACACCAGCAGCACAGCCAGCATACTCAAGATCTGGGACATGCCGACGTTCATTCTGGCAGTGGCTCCGCCATGAGAGAGCAACCTGCCGGAGCTCTTATCCAGCATTGCACCGACGCTGCTGGATAAGTCTCTTGGTTCCGGAAACTCGGCCGCAGAGTCGTTCCTTTTTTGCTGTCACCATACACATCGCGACCCGAATGCATAGACCCTTTCTGTCTTCAGGAGCTCAGGTTGCTGAGGTGGCAAGCCGCAGAAGGGTAAGCCGAGCTCAAGTCTAGGGGTTTAGGGTTTAGGGTTTTGGGTTTTGGGTTTTGGGTTTAGGGTTTAGGGTTTAGGGTTTGGGGTTTTGGGTTTTTGGGTTTAGGGTTTAGGGTTTAGGGTTTTAGGGTTTAGGGTTTAGGATTTAGGGTTTCGGGCGTATGTGATATGATGGTTTCCCAGCACGGAGCTCTTGTTGCCAGCAGCCGAGAAAACCGAGGATGTCAGGACTGACTGCAGAGAAGGCAATCTGCTCTGGGAATCCGGGAGGTTTCAAACTTGAGGCGTAAACATGCAACGCAACACCTCTAACCTTGAACCCCAACCTAGAACAACCCTAGAGTACCTATAGAACCCCTGAAAGGGAACACTCAAGAGGAAGCCTCACTCCCTCTTCGCATCATCCGGGCCTGCATGACTTTGTAGTCCTCCTCATCGGAGAGCTCCTGATCAAAGGCCTCATACTCGCACTAAGAGTGTGGCCAAAAGGGTTACTCCAAGGGTCGCTTTAGGGATTGCCAAAAGGGCTCCATAGGGGTTTAGGGGATCATGCCATGACGGACTTGAAGAATAAGAAAAAGGGGCCTTGCGACGGATCGGACGGGACATTTCTACGCAGATAGCACCCGATCCTCGAACCTGAACCCCAGCCCTGCGACTCCAGAACCATACATCTCTGCAGCCTCAGTGTCTCAACACGACATCTCCAAGATTGGCCTAGAGCCCCGAAACTCAAACACTTCAGATGAAGACTAGCCGAATCTCGAAACCCTAGACCCTAAAACCCAAAAAAGTGAGGGTTTAGGGACCCCGGCCGGATGCGTGCTGGTTCGGATAGGGACAGTAGGTCTGCCAGAGATCATGAAGGTCTGTAGATCGCCCCCATCCTGCTCTTCGGGGCTACTAGGGTATAGGGCGTTTAGGGTTCCGGGCCTGGGGTTTGGGGTAGAGGATTCTGGGATTTGGGTGTCGGGTGTAGGGTTGGGGGCTTGAGTTTTCAAGCCGGGCTCGGGAAATTTTGAGCCGATGCTGGCTTCGCTTGGGACAGGCATGCTTGAGCAGCTGAAAGACCGTGCAAAGAAAGCCGTCAAAACGATCCTAAAATCCTTAAGAAGGCTTCAAAAACACAGTGAGGGATCCCAGTGCCAGTGATTACGTAGGCGTTAAACACAACACAATTCCTACAACGCTACGAGCCATTGCAATGTGACCCTCGCCCCCAAAGCCGGCCATCCCCGTAAGTGGATGAGTCTGGGTGCTCGGCCTCATCGGAACGGCCTCAGGCAAGAGTCTCAGAAAGTTTTACAAGGAATATAGCAAAGAAGGTTTACTAGGCAATATAATATAGTAATATAATACAATATGTAACAACATGCCAACATCATTTTGTTGATCCGCTACAATAAGATATACTGCTTGACAGTGATCTCGAGAGGGGGATGGCAGGACTTCGCAAGGCTGGAAGGTAATGTAGCACCTGGTGCTTCGAGCGCTTGGCATACTTGTCAACACCCGGCACTTAAAGACTCCGGCTTCAGAAACCTGTGATTACACATCCTAAATTAATAGGGTTCGTGTCAAATAACCTAAGAAGCACCAGAAACGGATGGCTAGAATCTGGGCCTGTCAGGCAGCACCGGCGCTGGTGACAGATCCAGGCACGGAGAGGGGCACGAAATCGAGAATAATAACAATTATAGAACCAATATTAACAACAACGACAACAGAAATGATAATCAATATCATTGTGTTAGTAGTCGTCGTCGTAGTAGTGGTCGTAGTAGCCATCGTCGTCGGCGCCGTAGTCGTAGTAGTAGTAGTAGTAGTAGTAGTAGTTGTTGTTGTTGTTGTAGTTGTAGTAGTAGTCGTAGTAGTAGTAGAAGTAGTAGTAGTAGTAGTAGTAGAAGTAGAGGAGTAGTAGTAGTAGTAGTAGTAGTAGTCGTCGTAGTCGTAGTGGTAGTAGTAGTAGTAGTAGTAGTAGTAGTAGTAGAAGTAGAGGAGTAGTAGTAGTAGTAGTAGCAGTAGTAGTAGCAGCAGTAATAATAATAACAATAGTCATGATATTAATCATAACAATAAAATGATACTAATGATAACAATACTACTAATACTGATAAAAATAGAAATGACATTCGGCCCTTGCCGAGGATGCGGCCAGTCTCCAGCTGGTCGAGGAAGTTCCCGGATCGAGCCTCCGTTGCGGGTGGATGCTCGTGCCGCACTTGTGATTATCCGGTAGGGGTTGGGGTTTAGGGTTTAGGGCTTATAGGGTTTAGGGTTTAGGGTTATCACCACCACTGCCATGGGCTCCACAATCTGGCAAGGGCGGGACGACTGCGGCCGTCAGAGAGGATAAGAATTGCTCGAGGGGGGACACCCCTGTTTGCAGGAGCCGATGAGTGCCGAACGGAACCTGAACCCCCGAGCCCTTAAGAAGACTCCTGCCAGAGGCTCAACTCACACTCAAGCCTAAGCCATTTCATCCTGTGGGTTAACTTCGAATCCAATCCACATTGTTCGGCCACCTGAATGGAGCCTACCCACTGCTATCTCGACCGACGCTGGCTACTGTTGGCAATCAGCCGGAGCACCTAAACAGCTCGTGTCCAGCGCAGTCAAGGTCAGCTACTCTCCCGCGCCGTCTAAGGATCCGGCAATTTGCGGTCCGGTCGCCTTCCGATCAGGATGGCTCTTCTGAAGCCCACGGTATAATAGTATAAAAGTATGATAGAACTAATGATATAACAGCATAACAGTATACTAGTATAACAGTGAGTAGTATAGTAGTATAACTGTACAAAAGTAGAACGGTATAGTAGTACAATAGTGTTACATAGCACAATAGTACAATAGTAGAATAGTTCACATCCGTTCTTGTAGGAAGCCCGAACACGACACTGCGTCGCTGGTCAGCCTGACTCATCGAGATGTCCGGCTTGAATGTGTGCTTCCTGGTCTCACAAGGCTCCCTCTCCAGGGTGGGCGATTTAAGCTTCTTTGTTGTGGAGCCAGGGGTACTGAGAGACCTGCCTCGGGTTGCTTAACCTTCTTCCCTAAACCCCAAACCAAAAACCCTAAACCCTAAACCCTAAACCCTGAACCTTTCTTTGGACACCAGCAGCTCCCGGAAAAAAAAAAAAAACTAAGCCCCTACTCCCCGAGTCGACATCCAGGAACCTCTAAAGCTACGGTTGATGGTATAAATCCTGCATTACCAAGAAGAAGGAATATACCATAGGGTCCTTAAGGTAATGCAGGATTATAAGGAATATACCACAATTCCTCTAGTTTAGGGTCCTTAAGGTAATGCAGGATTTCTAGCATGAACCGTAGGGCTTGGACTCGATTGTGAGGCTCTGAGGCCCACCCCTTTGGCTCAGACGTTCAACAGCGGAGTCTCTCACTCCGTACAAACAAAGGGGCCGCAAAACTTAGAACAGGGTTTTGGGGTATATAAAATATTGCAGTAACTAAGAAAAATTATTATTGTCAAGATTATGGTGATCATCATGATTATGAGCCCCTAGAACAGTATGGCATGGGTAATTGTTTAGGCCCATATAATATATTATAAACAATGAAATTTCCGACTCGGCTGAGCACTTCGAGGGCCTGCACGGATTGTTACGGGTTCGGCATGCACACCACATGCAATCTGATGCCACGGTGCAGGGTTCACAAAGCTTGGTTTTGAACTCTGGCGCCTAACACGCTCGGGAACTGACCCCTACATCCTCAATCAAGTTCCTGAGTCACCCAGAAACTACACCCTAACTGACCCCATCCTAAAAAATACCTCGACTTCCTAAACCCTAAACCCTAAACCCCTAAACCCCCAAACCCCTAAACTCCTAAACCCGAAACCTTCAACCCCCCACGCTCGACACCCGAAGCCCTTTCTGGTGTCCTCCAGTCCGCCATGGCATCCTGCCGATGTGCTTGCCGGGCCTCCGGTCCGGGAAACATGAGGTGAACATTATAGAATAATAATCATCATCATCATATTCTTATTAGTAGTAGTAGTAGTAGTAGTAGCTGTTGTTGTTGTTGTTGTAGTAGCAGCAGGAGTAGTAGTAGTAGTAGTAGTAGCAGTAGTGATAGTAGTAGTAGTAGTAGTAGTCGTCGTCGTCGTCGTAGTCGTCGTAGTAGTTAGTAG